TTTCTTTTATACATTTTGAAAAACACAATTGAATATAAGAAATAAGTAAAAAGTTTTGGGTAGGTTTGCATTATTTTTTAGCATCTATTATCCTTTTCAGGATATTTTCCTATTCAGGAACCATCCTTTTCAGGAACTACATCCTTTGCCTTGGGAGCCATGGCAGAAGAGAAGCAGCGGTTCAGCACAGACTAGCTGCTAAAGTATGGCTGCGAGTCATACTATAGATTCTCTCATAGCTGCTTGTAATGTTTGCGAAGTAAAATATGTTGGAAAATACAATATATATATATATATGTATATTATATATATATAACAAAAAACATTTAGAAACTCAAGATGTTGAAACGATAATTCCTGAAAAGGATGTAGTTCCTGAAATGGAAAGTTTCTGCAATGAATCTTTCAGGTTGAATGTAGCTTCCTCAGAGGAATGTGCTTTCCTTTTTTTAAATTCTAAATTTACTGAATTCTAAATTATCTAAATTTTTGAAATTTTGTAATTATTTGGAATTGTAAGGTATCAAAAGTTTCTGGATTCTATTTTTTTTGGATTTTATGATTTTCTGGATTCTATTTTTTTTTGATTTTCTGAATTTTCTGGATTATTATTTTTCTATTTTTTCTAGGTTCTATTTTTTTTGGTTTTCTACATTTTCTGGATTCTAACTTGTTTTGGCTAGATTTTCTGAATTCTATTTTTTTCTGATTTTCTAAAAATTCTAGATTCTATGTTCTTTTTGGTTTTCTAAATTGTCTGGAGTCTATTTTTTTGATTTTCTGAATTTTCTGGATTCTTAATTTTCTGAATTTCTAGATTCTTTGCTTTTTTTATTTTATAAATTTTCTGGATTCTAACTTTTTTGGATTGTCCAAATTTTCTGGATTTTGGTTTTTAAGGATTTTCTGGATCCTATTTTTTTGGATTTTCTAAATTTTATGGGTGCTGAATTTTCTAATTTTTCTAGATTATATGTTCTTTGGTTTTCTAAATTTTCTGGATTCCAACTTTTTTGGGTTTTCTAAATTTTCTGGGTTTATTTTTTCAGGTTTTCTAAATTTTCTAGTTTTTTTTTTTCTATCTTCTAAATTTTCTGAATTCTATGTTTTTTTTTCTGATTTTATCTGAATTCTGAATTTTCTGAATTTTCTGAATTATATAAATATATATTTAAATATGTATATATATATATAGAATTGTGAATTTTCTGAATTTTCTGGATTCTGATTTTTCTAATTTTCTAGATTCCATGTTTTTTTGTTTCTAAATTTTCTGGATCCTTTTTTTTATTTTCTGATTTTTCTGGATTCTAGTTTTTTTGCTTTTATAAATTTTCTAGACCCTATTTTTTTTTAGATTTCTGAATTTTATGGATTCTAAATTTTCTAAAAATTTTCTAGATTCCATTTTTTTTGGTTTCTACATTTTTTGGAATCTATTTTTTTTAGATTTCCTGAATTTTCTGGATTCTGGATTTTTTTTTCCAGATTCTATTTTTTTTGGTTTTCTATTTCTTTCTGGATTTTGAATTTTCTAAAGTTTCTGGATTCAATTTTTTCCATTTTCTGAATTTTCTGGATTCTATGCTTTTTTGATTTTCTGAATTTTATGGATGTTTTTTGCTTCTATAAAGTTTCTGGATTTTTTTTGATTTCCTGAAATTTCTGGATTCTGAATTTTCTAAAATTTCTGGACTCTTTTTTTTTTGGAGTTTATGTTTTTTTTTGATTCTGAATTTTCTTCTTTTTAGTATTTAAGTTTTTTCTGATTTTTATGGATTTTGACGTGTCTGAATTTTCTCAAGTTTGAGTTTTCCTTTTCAAGAACCTGAATTTTCAGAAAACTCTCCTTGATTCAAGATAAATTAGCTTAAAGTAGGCTCCGTTTTGGGACCTTTCCTTTACTGGAACTTTCCTTTGCAGCATTCCTGAAAAGGATGGCTCCTGTAAAGGAAAGTTCCAGCAAAGGAGAGTTCCTGAAAAGGATGGCTCCTGTAAAGGAAAGTTCCAACAAAGGAGAGTTCCTGAAAAGGATGGTTCCTGTAAAGGAAAATTCCAGCAAAGGAGGGTTCCTGAAAACTATGGTTCCTGTAAAGGAAAGTTCCAGCAAAGGAGAGTGCCTGAAAACCATGATTCCTGTAAAGGAAAGTTCCAGGAAAGGAGAGTTCCTGAAAAGGATGGTTCCTGTAAAGGATGGTTCCTGTAAAGGAAAGTTCCAGCAAAAGAGAGTTCCTGAAAAGGATGGTATCTCCTTTACTGGAACTTTCCTTTACAGGAACCATAGTTTTCAGGTATCTATTTCTCCAACTATTCCTGGGCAGCAACTTCGAAATGAAAACAAAACAAAAGTTCCAGCAAAAGAGAGTTCCTGAAAAGGATGGTATCTCCTTTACTGGAACTTTCCTTTACAGGAACCATAGTTTTCAGGTATCTATTTCTCCAACTATTCCTGGGCAGCAACTTCGAAATGAAAACAAAACAAAAGAAATGATTTCCAGCTATTTTCAGATATTTTCAGGTATTTTCAGATATTTTCAAATATATTTTCAAATATTTTTCACTAATAGTCGAATATATTTGATTATATCTTCATTATTATGTAATAAACTCAAATAAAAAATTAGTGAAGCTTAACTCAAAATTAATTTTTAAAAAACAATTTAAACAAGATATTAGCAAAATACTAGCAACTTATCAGATACTTATAAGTTCGTTAAGTGCCTGAAGTGAAAGTTTCTTCCATTAGTGGTCTTAGTACTAATAGTTCAACATTGAACCGGGGTGTTATTATTCAAACATTGAACAGTTGAACTCGGGTAATAACAATAATGAACATCAATTATTGGAATCATATTGAGTCAATGGCGGTTGTGGATGGAACCCAGCAAATATTCCCAAAAAACATCTTGTCACTTTTTGACTTCCTTAACCTTAGGCCAGTTATTTGAACTTATCATAGAACTTATTTGAACTTATTTTTACTTATTCTTACTTATTTTCACTTATTTTCACTTATTTTAACTAATTTTCGATATTTTTGAAAGTTAAATAACTGGTAATAGACGAATGTTTTTTCTTTTCACACATTTCGAACAATAGGAAAAATGCATTCGAAGATTTATACGTTGGCTATTGTTTACAGGAATCTTCTGAATTTTCTGAATTTTCTAAATTTTCTAAATTTTCTGAATTTTCTGAACTTTCTGAATTTTCTGCATTTTTTGAATTTTCGGAATTTTCTGAATTTTCTATTTTTTTTTGATTTTTCTGAATTTTCATTTTTTTTTGAATTTTCTGAATTTTCTGAATTTTTTGAATTTTCGATTTTTTGAATTTTCTGTTTTTCTGGAATTTTCTGGATTTTTCTAAATTTTCTGATTTTTTGAATTTTCTGAACTTTTTGAACTTTCATCAGCCAAAACTGCTACCATGAAATTGCAATCCAATTCCGTTACTCCCTCGAAATGAAAACAAAACCAAAAAAGTGATTTCCAGCTATTTTCAGATATTTTCAGATATTTTCGAATATTTTCAGATATTTTCAAATATTTTCAAATATTCTCAGATATTTTTAGATATTTTTCACTAATATTCGAATATATTTGATTATATCTTCATTATTATGTAATAAACTCAAATAAAAAAATAGTGAAACTTATGTCAATATCAATATAATTTCAAAAACAATTTAAACAAGATATTAGCAAGATACTAGCAACTTATCAGATACTTATAAGCTCGTTAAGTGCCTAAAGTGAAAATTTCTTCCATTAGTGGTCTCAGTATAAATAAATAAATAAATATAAATATAAATATATATATATATATATACATATACACATACATATATATGTACTGTATGTATAATGTGTCCGTATATATATATATATATATGTTATTACCCACCTGCCAGGTGAGGGTTGTTAGATTTTATCACAGTTGTTCTCCTCCTCCGCCTCCTCCTCCTCATCCTCCACCTCCTTCTTCTCCTCCTCCCTCTCCTCCAGCTTCTCCTCCACCACCTTTGCATCCACTCCCATGTTCACTTCCGCCTTGCCAACTCTTCGCCAAGCTCTTCGCCAACTTCCGCACGCAGTGGGAACTGCTGGACCTCAACTGCAAGGGTCTGAGCGCACTGGGCACCGCTGGACCTCAACTTGGGACATTCCGAGCTCAGTGAGCACCGCTGCACCTCAACCTGGGACCGTCCGAGCTCAGTGAGCACCGCTGGACCTCAACCTGGGACCCTCCGAGCTCAGTGAGCACCGCTGGACCTCAACGGCCAGATAGAATGCCAGAAGATATGCCAGATAGAACGCCAGATAGAATGTCAGAAAGAATGCCAGAAGATATGCCAGATCAAGTGCCAGAATGTTTGCCAGATAGAATGCCAGAAGATATGCCAGATAGAATGCCAGAAGGTATGCCAGATAGAATGTCAGATAGCATGCCAGAAGGTATGCCAGATAAAGTGCCAGAATGTTTGCCAGATAGACCGCCAGAAGATTTGCCAGATAGAATTTCAGAATGCCAGATAGAATGTCAGAAGATATGCCAGGAGATATGCCAGATAGAGTGCCAGAACATATTGCAGAAGATATGCCAGGTAGAATGTCAGAGAGAATGCTCGATAGAATCCCAGAAGATATGCCAGATAAAATGCCAGAAGATATGCCAGATAGAATGCCAGAAGTTATGCCAGATTGAATGTCAGAAGATATGCCAGAAGATATGCCAGATAGAGTGCCACAAGATATGCCAGAACATATTGCAGAAGATATGCCAGGTAGAATGCCAGAAGATATGCCAGATAGAATGCCAGAAGATATGTCAGATAGAATGCCAGAAGATTTGCCAGTAACAAAATGTATAGATGTCATGGTGGGGATAACTCGAAGTAAAGTATTTTTTTTGGTATATGCAAATGTATACATCATCCACCATGGTTTCTGGCTTGCCCCATTTCTCGCGGGAAAAATCCACATCTTTGTCCCAGCAGCAAGCTGCACACGAAAACGCCCAGGCCCAAGTGCTTGGACTCTGAGGAGTGCCTGGAGAAAGATCACAAGAAACACCGAAAAACACAACTTGTGGGCACCGGGGGCGATTTTTCAATCATACCTACTGCACAACTGCTATTTTTTCATAACAAAGTATTAGATTAGCAGTTTAAGTAAGTTGGTTTATAGCTCCAAGAGCTTGGCTCCATAGATGTCTATAGTATGATTGTTGGTGTTTTGAACCCAGGACTCAGAACTGCGCAAGGCGTCAGTTTTCCAAGGGTTAATTGTGTAATCCACTGGCTGGTTGTTCCATGATGTTTGCCATATTGGTTGCATATGGGTCCTGAAAATCACATACCCCCAAATCTACTGATTAAACCCATCATTTCCTATGTACATGTATATATATATATAATAGGATTGCAATGGATTATACATACAATAGTACATAGCCCACATTCAGACAAACCCACAAATCATATTGGTGGCTATATCTCAACTATATCTCAACTGTATTCCCACTATCGTTGGCTGTAACTCACTTTGTTGTTGGTTAAATAGCCGAGTAGCAATTATGAACCATAACTTCCAAACAAACCACAAAGCCATGCAGGTCATTATCCTGTTCAAGGCTTCTTCATCTCCGCTCCACTCAGCCAACATTGGGCCGAAGTGTTTCAAGGCCCTTTTATCGTCAAATCCTGTAAGCATCTTGCTCCAGCGCATCTTCAAAACAGGGTTAGACTCATGATCACTTTTTCTAATGTCTAACCCCATTTTGGAGTTAGGGTACACTCATGATCAGGGCTTAACTCATGATCCAAACGCTGTTAGACTCATCACACTTTTTCTAACCCGAACAAAATTGGTTCTCCAATTGTTTTGTGTGCCTTATGACAGATCCAATTGCGATTCCTCATAGACTCATTCCTCAAACCACAAAGCCATATTGATGGCTATGTATACAAAAATATATAAACGTATAAATACATATATATATATATGATGTGTGTATATTATTATTATTATTATTATTATTCTAGACCAATAACCGACTAGTACATCCCAGTATATGTGTATATATATATATATACATATGTATATAACCATATATCAACAAAATGGTTAGGTTTTAATTTCACCCCTGATCCAACCATGGTTCAAGGCATAGTCGTGCTATTTGTTGGTGACATATATTACATGACATTACTCTACGCTATGTTAGGTTGCAGTGCATTACATTATATTGCAATATTAATGTGTATATATATATATATCAATATCATATACACTACATTACATTATCATTACGTGTATATATATATATACATGGTGAATCTTAGATACTTATCAACAAATATATCTTTTCACACGGTGAATGGACTCATTTTACCATTGTTAGCAAACGATTAAGTCGTACGAACGTTCGTATCTAACCAGTCGGTTGACCCAGTCAAAAAAGTACGCCCCGTTTACGAAACTAGTGAAGGATTTGCCAGCTATAGGCTATATCTATGATATTCACCACTATTTCAGGGAATAGTAATTTCTTTGCACTGTCAAAATGAGATCATAGTATACTCACTAGTCACCATGTTTTATCAGTATCCAAACAGAAACATCCCAGTACCACTAATTACCGCTATTTCAGAACGATTTCATCAACATCCTCTTTTTGGGCAGCCTGAGTTCGCCCATTTCAGTTGCCCATTTCGCCCAGCTGCGACCCATGACTCTTCGCCACGGTGGCTAGACCGGCAAAGACCACACCTGCAGGGAATACTACAGTTATAGTCTTTAAGAGTTATAAATGGGATTATAACTCCTGTAAGCACGGTTATATATCATGAAACAATCCCATTTATGACTCCTGTAAGCAAGGTTTAATGCCAGTATTAAACACCCCCCCAAAGAAACCATAGTTTTTCGTAGGAACTTTCCACATAATTGAAGTAGGATGGAAAACATTGACTAGTGGGTTTGCCCAAGAATGGGGTATCGGGCATCTGTATACCATCAAATTGGCAAGTCTAAAGGCTAGCTGGGGTGGCCTATTTGACAATTTTTACTTGGATATGAATTAATAAGCGCATTGTTTATAAATGTTTATAACCTATCAAATGGTTGAAACCATGGTTGTTACGATATACAACTTATCAGTGGTTTAAACATCTGATAGGTTATAACATATTATATTGAGAACTTATCATCATATGTTGTTATAGCCCACATATAGCCTACATATATTTATAACCCATCAATGTTTGTGACCATGGTAACCTTAACCACTTACAATGTGGGGCCCCCGTTTACGATAGCGTTCAGTTGGTTTAAAAGTCCAATAACTATGGTTTATTCTACTTATACTGGTTGGTGGTTTCAACCCCTGTGAAAAATATGAAAGTCAGTTGGGATGATGACATTCCCAATGCTGTATATGGAAAGTCATAAAATTCCATGGTTCCAAAGCAGCAACCAGATGATGTGCCCATTGTAGGTTTTTTGTGGTTTATAAACCAACATTCACATCACTGCTTGGTGGCGAACTACCCACGGCTCGTTTTTGTGGGTTAGTTCACCCCAGTGATTTACATGGGATGTTTGTAGGGTTAATCCACTGAAATCACTGGGGTGAACTACCCTCTGGTAAACTAACATAACTATGGAAAATCACCATTTTTAATGGGAAAATCCACTATAAATGGTCATTTTCAATAGCTATGTTAAATTACCAGAGGGTAACCCACAAAAACGAGCCGTGGGTAGTTCGCCACCAAGTGGGGGGGCACCAGCGCCGATCCCAAGAGCCCGCCTGCCACCATCAAGACCACTTCTGCGACACGGACGGAAGTGGCCAGGGCAGGAACACAAGGGCCTCCCGAGAACGCACGGCATATATCCAATCTCTTGGGGATCGAACTATCTATCCATCCATCCGTCCGTCCATCCATCCATCCATCTATCTATCTAATATATATATATATATTATTATATTATATATATTATACATGGGGGTTGTGGTTGACATAATCATTGATATATCTGTAGTGGAAGATTTGACCCAACTGAGAACGGGGCAAGTCCACATGAAAATCACAAGGCCATAGCAGGATTCATCCGGCAAATCTGACGTTTGAGCAACAAATATACGTTTGGTGTTATAAGTTGGTTTATAAACCATAGTAAATATATGTGATTAAATATAGATATATCTTTTACAAACCATAGTTATTGGAGTTTATGGGGCACCACCTTGTATGGTTCATATTCATGAGAGAAAATAAAACATCAAAAGACTGTAGGACACGACGGTTTTCTAGTCTATCCTCACCAAGCTACAATGAAATGGAAAGAATGTCCGGTTAAATCCTCACAGTTATAGCCCTCAACAGTTAAAACATGGGATTACAACGATATAACCTGAGTTACAGGAGTTATTTCATCCCATTTCAAACTGTTAAGGCCACAACTGCAATTTTCAATGGCAAGGGTCGGGCTGTTGTGCACTGATGTTTGTTTTGCCGCGACTTGATCAACCCCATATATATATATATCCTATATATAGGTTTCCTAAGTCATAAGGGTACCCCCCCGTTCTCTTCCATAAATATGTATCCATAAACAAATGTAAATATGCATCCATAAGCATATATATATATGTATCTAACTATATATATATGGAAAATTAAGAAACCATCAAACACTGAGCTGGAGGAAAGCCGTTTGGGGGCGAGTTCCATGATTTCTAGTGAGGTCGCAGTGACACCGCCATACTTTCTCCGTATCTACACATTATATTTACAAGTATATGCACACATGTGATATTTATATATGGTATATAATATATGTATATGATATATATGTATATGATATATATATATATATAATATACATAAAGATATACAATTATATAAGTATATACTGTATATATATATAAAAGTCACTAAAAGTCTATACTTCTGGGTAAATTGTGATATCTCACTAACCTAAATAGTTCGGCCATTTGGGAATGATTCCCTTTACTCACCATGATTGGTCGCAAGGCCCGATAGAAATCTCAGGTCCTGGTGGTTCACTTTCGCATGGTCAAATTCCCGAGGATTTGGAATATACCCCTTTAATTGAATGGGAATTTCAGGAACCTAAATTGGAGGTACCAAATCCCCGGGAGGTAAAATGGGATATCATCTAATGGGATTATTTAATATCCTTTACCCTCTGGTTATTTAGATGATAGTGATTTATAGTGGTTTAATGGGATTTTATAGTGATTTAATGGGGTTTTATAGTGATTCAATGAGATATTCATGGGAATTTCAGGAACCGATTTATTGGAGGTACCTACCATATATAAGGCCTATATAAGGGCTAAATTTCAGGGGAGATCCCTCCAAAATATGGCCCAAAATATGGTACTAACGTACCTCCATTTTAGGATCCTGGAATTCCCATTGATACCCCTTTAATGTCCTTTACCCTCTGGTTATTTAACATAGCCATGGTATAGATGGCCCATTTATAGATGGTTTACCTGGGTTTACCGAACTTAAAAATGGTGATTTTCCATGGCTATGTTAAATAACCAAATGGTATTCCTTCTTATCAAATGGTGAATATCTAAGCAGAATTCAATTGTCTCGCAGCCTCGCACATGGAATCTTGTTGGCTTCAAATAATGGTCAAATTCTGATAGAACACATACCTAGACCCTCCATGTATCCATAAAGATTAACATGCAAAGAAATGTAACCATATGATTTGATGGGTTAAAATGCATGTTTTTAATGTACTTGGAAAGTTTACTCATAAAAACAATGTCCCCCCTTCTTGCTACCTGTTGCTTCTGCTCCATCTCCTTAAAGCAGGGCTACTTGTTCTTGGCTTTCCCACTACTGGCTTCCTCTCGTTCCTCCAGCATCTTGGTGAACATGTCCTGAAGCTCTTGAACAAACTGCTTCTGCTCACCCTCCGATCTGCCTTTGTACCGTTTCTCACTGACTGGTTTCTGCAGAAGAGCTGCATGCCTCATCGACAGGAAGCTACCGAATCCGGGTACCATCCGCCTGCGAACGGCATTGAGAAGGCCACCCACTACACATTGCACCGTAGAGGAAAACATATTTTTCAGCCATCACCGGTTCGGCTTTTCTTTTGCAAGATGCTGTCCGTGGTGGTCGGCATGTGACCAGCAACGGTACGATGCTATCCAGATCACCAGGAGCTGCTTCAAGACATACAGCGTCTCAGCTGCATCTTCTGTGGGTATCTTTTCATTTGTCGTGTACCCTCTGGTAAACTAACATAGCTATGGAAACTATTTTTAATGGGTAAATCCACTGTAAATTGTCCTTTTCAATAGCTATGTTAGTTTACCGGAGGGTACCCTTTCTGTCTCCAGAACAGACCTGCAGAACTTTGGCGAGAGATGTGGATCGCAGATTGCACTCAGTGCCGAGGTTGGGAAGTCGAATGGACCGGCTATCCCGGCGATAAAGAGTAGTTTCACCCATTCAACTAAAGACTGGTTGGTGGTATACCAGCCCCCAGAAAAATATGAAAGTCAGTTGGGATGACTATTCCCAATATATGGCAAAATAAAACATGTTCCAAACCACCAACCAGAAGATCAATCTTCACAACAAATATTCCCAGACTCTCATTAATCCTCGGTTGAACTTGGTGTTTACCTGCCAAAAACATGTGTTGTTTGCTGTACTTTGAGGGTCAAGGTTGTAGTTTGTTTAGCCAACAGAATGCGATCAACTAGGTCAACTAGCAACCAAATCCATTTAATGCGAGTAAAGCATAGTAAAGCAGTACTGGTTGGTGGTTTGCGAAAAATATGAAAGTCAGTTGGGATGATTATTCCATTCCCAACTGAATGGACAGTCATAAAAATCATGTTCCAAACCACCAACCAGATTATCATCTATAAATCACCAACCATTTCCAACATAACTATGGAAAATCACCATGTTCAATGGGTAAATCCACGAACTAAATGGAGGTTTCTAGCTGGGAAAACCATATTTTACCAGACAAAATTGTTATTCCAACTATTAACCATAGATTAACCATAGATTACCCATATTTTGATGGTGGATCCTATTGCTTTATCAACATGTTCGCAACCGGCGCCCACGACGTCTTTCGCAGAAAAAACAATGCCTAAGATCTGCTGGAAGATGAGCGTGACCAAAGGCAAACAGGACCTCTTAGGCAAGCAAACATACGTGGAAGAAGCAGCAAACCGTCACAAAACTATAAAAATGGTGATGACTGGGGGATGGTTTATCATAAATGGTGATAAATGATGGTGATAAGTGATAACTATGTAAAATAATAATACCTAGTCGTGGCGGTGGTGCAGCTGACGCTGGTGCCATACTTCCTCAGGATTCTGACGATGTTTGTGGGAAAAACATTGCCATGTTTACCACCCATGACTGGGAATGGTTTATTTATACCACCTATAAAAATGGTGATGACTGGGGGATGGTTTATCATAAATGGTGATAAGTGATGGTGATAAGTTATAACTATATGTAAAATTTTAATAATACCATCTGGTTATGGCTAACAGTTTGAAATGGAAAATCACCATTTGTAATTAATAGGTACGTAAACCATTTGTAAATGGGCAATTTTCCATGGCTATGTTAAATAACCATTTAAACTTAAGATGGGAAACTGTGGTGTGAACGAGGGGGAAAGACATCTTTAAGTTTGTATCAGTGAAAACATGTGAAAACCATGACACAAAATGACAAAGACTGAAGGAAAAATAATTTATCTGGTTGGTGGTTTTAACCATATTGAAAAATATTAGTCAATGGGAACGTAACCATTGCTGGATCCGACAAGAAGCAGAATTCAACTTAGGCAGTCTGATACACACTAAGATCTACTAAGAGAGTCGTGGAACAACAAAGAATATCTTTTTTTCAATGTGGTCTGAACATATACCCTCTGGTAAACTAACATAGCTATTGAACATGGCCATTTATAGTGAGTTTTCCCATTAAACATGGTGATTTTCCATAGTTATGTTAGTGTACCAGAGGGTAGTGTTTCGTATTGGTTGTGTGTAGAACGGCTGGTGGTGTAGCCTTGGGTGACATGCCAAGACTTTCAAAGTTGGGAGCCTTGGGTCATCGATAATTTGTGGTAGCTTTGAACTAGTCCCCTTGTTGTAATTCATCCCTGTGATGGTGCATGTTCCCCCCCCACTTGAAGTAGAAGACTAGCGTTTCTCATGATAAACCGCTTGACATATCTTACGACCGTTCAAATGTGACACCCAAACAATCCATTCACATCGTTTTGTCTTAAGGCAACCTAGCCTAAATCCTATATCAATTTCCATCATGTGTCTCCTCTGCTGCCAGGACGATGGAAAAGCCACAACGACCGCACAACGACCGCACAACGACCGCGTTCCAGGGCCTGATGATCATGTTCAAAGAGACCGCCAGCAATGACAGGCTAAAGTTGTTCAATCCTGCCGGTGGATCGAAACGAAGCGGATACGTACGTGACACCATGATGAAACATGTTCAAGAAATTTAGGTGTTTATTGAAAAGAAAACACCAAGAACATGTTGATTTCTGGTTGGTGGTTGACCTACCCCTCTCAAAAATTTGAGTCAGTTGGGATTATGAAATTCCCAACTGAATGGAAACATAAAAAAAATGTTTGAAACCACCAAGAACATGTTGATGATTTCACTTTGGTGTTTATCGAATGTTTTTTGAAAAGAAAAAACGCCAAGAACGAACCATTCAAAATCCATGGACTTGTTTAGGTCAGTCCGACCGACCAGGTCGGACTGGGGGATGAAATATGATGAAATCATTGCTGCGCTCGTGCAGCCCGACTGCTTGGAATGCAACAAACATGTGCCAACTTATCTCTTCCCTGCCAACAACTTAGTGGTTTGGCTGCGCATCTAAGCTTAGCTGTTTGCTCTAGCATGATCCTCTGTTGAGAAATTGTCACGGGATATGGCTTGAATATAATCCCTCAAGTGGCACCTGCCACACACCATATGTTCCAAAACACTTGAACTGCCACAACAAAAAGTGGATACTGCCACGGCCAAAGGTACGAGCTGCCACAAGAAAAGAGAGAGAATTCAGCGTGGCAGTATAGGGTTAGAGCAAGATCTTCTAAGCAGGAATGTCATGGAATGTCCCAGTAAGCCTGTGTACTTCCACGGCATTGCCACGTTACAACCGTACTACTGGAAGCGTGGCAGTAGACAGTGGCAGGAGGACCAAACATGTGGCAGTAGTGCTGTGGAGCAACCCAGGATTCTGACAATTCCAGGCACAGGGAAGGGGTCAAAATCATGGTAGAGAAAACACCTAAATCTAAGCCTTGAATCCTTGAGCTATGACTAAGCCATGACTAGGCCTCAAATCAATTGCGAATCTCCATCCCAATGCCTTTTCATTCCTATTGGACTTCCATGAAAACCTTCTCCATTCGCCATTCGCTTTCCCCAAGATCTATATTATATAATATAATCATTCTTAATCTAAAGGGGTTTCCACAAATGGAGGCATTTGGATGGTTTACAAGGGAAAATCCTATTAAAATGGATGATTTAGGGGTACCCGGATTTATGGAACCCCCCCTATATACACTGTATCCATGTCCATGATCTCCAGTCCAAGGTACCAATATTTGCCGAGAAGGCTAATGAGAAGAGCAACACACAAAAGACCTAGTCGTGGCGGTGGTGCAGCTGACGCTGGTGCCATACTTCGTTTGGATTCTGACGATGTTTGTGGGAAAAACGGTGCCATGTTTACCACCCATGACTGGGAATGGTTTATTTATACCACCTATAAAAAACATGGTGATGACTGGGGGATGGTTTATCATAAATGGTGATAAGTGATAACTATATAAAATAATAATACCATCTGGTTATTTAACATAGCTATGGAAAAGCCCCTTGAAAATGGAGGCTTCTAGCTGGGAAAATCATCTGTAAATGGGCCATTTTCCATAGCTATGTTAAATAACCAGAGGGTAAACCACCCATGACTGGGAATGGTAACCATACCACCTATAAATTCATGGTGATGACTGGGGGGTGGTGCAGATGGCATTATTTTACCCACATTACTACGGATAAAATGATGATTATGACCATAGTATTGATGGACTTTATAATCTACAAACAAGCCTGTGACTGGGGGACACCACCTTGTAGCTATGGAGGGTATAACAAGAACAGTCGGAGGAAAACCGTAGCCACGAATAAACAATCACAGTATCTGCAACCGACAAAATGGGATAACGACTCTAGGTGTCCTACCGATGCAACGCGCTGGGTCCCAAGTCACAAGTAGATTTGTTTTTGTTGGTTTATAACCACAATAGTTCTTAGTGGGGATCACACAAGGTAAAACAATATAGCTGGCCTTCCTAATCACATACAAACGGACTTGGTTCGAGGAAATGTACCGCAAAAAAAACGTGGTTTGCCGGCAATCTGTCTACTGTTATAGCTCTACCTCTGAACAAACCCATTCAAACATTTCTGGCAACCTGTTCAGAATTCCGGAGGGTCAAGCTGAGATTAAAAACATTAACCACTTTTTGGATATCAAGCACTATATCGCAAAGAAAACGACTACTATCAACCACTATTCCCAGTAGTTGGATATCAAACAAATGAAACACATATTAATATTGGCAATATTGACCATTGATAATTTCCAATGGAACTATTATTTGTTCAGAATTTGGTTATAATATGTTATAATCCCATTATTGATGAACTGCCATCGAAAAACAAAATCAATCTTTGGGTGACTTACTTATTCGTCACCTTATGTGTCTGGTACTTGGCCATTGTTTAAATATCCAATGAATACAGGATGGGGCCCCCAAGATAGCTAAGTTGCCTTATAAGTGGCTTAACTATGGTTTGTGGTAGGTATAACTGTAGATAACTATAGTTAATGGGGGTTATAAACCAGATAACTGGGGGCCCCATCCTGTATGGAAAATCATAATTTGGTGTTGCTGCTAAAAGAGATAAGGAGGTGCGGGCCAAGGGGTGGGAAAACACATGGTATAATCAAGGGATTTCAATGCCCATCAGTTAGTGCTATGCTTATAGATCCAAGCAAAACATAATCTGGTTGGTGGTTTCAACCCATCTGAAAAATATGAAAGTCAGTTGGGATGATTATTCCCAATATATGGAAAAAAAACATGTTCCAAACCACCAACCAGTAATAAACTGAAATTGTACCCCACAAGTAGTGTACCCACCTACCAACCAGAAATCGCGAAATCGCCAGAGATCATCGGAGTACTATTCCTAGCTGCATGTGTGTTGATTCAACCTCCAGTTTTGCTGGCTCAAACTATCGTATTATCTGGGTAAATTATCATAATTCACTAACCTGAATAGTTCGGCCATGAATGGGGATGATTTCCCACCATTAACCACCATTAATGGCTGGCTCAAACCATCGTATTATATGTCAATTTGTTGCTTCTCGTATTATTTGTAGATCCAGATTTCAGGGTTGTTAAACTGTTAAACCTTCCCAGGTCCAATGTCGTCCCACACAACGTGGGAATCCCTGTTTTCTACAAGTTGAGAAAACACATTTTTATGCAAGGTATTAAAACCCATCCACTATCATAAATGGTAAGTATATCCACCATAAATCTAACATAATCCAACTTTTTTCACCTACATTTGTTTCACCAACTTCTCTTGAAAAAATAGCCCTATCCCATCCCATTGTCCTAGTTCGTTAGTATATGTTCCCCTATATTAATCCGTCAACAGAGGTATAAACTCTCATGGTGAACGTTCAATTTGAATCCGACTAATTTCACCCTACAAACAATATTTACAAACCAGTTACGACAAGTTATAAGTTGGTTTATAAAACCCAGAAACACTACAGTTAGCAGTTATGTAAACTATACCCTCTGGTAATTTGACATAGCTATTGAACATGGCCATAGAAATAGTGAGTTTTCCCATTAATTTAAAAATGGTGATTTTCCACAGTTTTTTCTATGTTTACCAAAGGGCAAGTATCATAAACCACGGTAACTCGGAGCTATGTTGCCGATCCCCCACCTCGGACCAGGTGTTCAACCGCCGCGGCGTATATCGATAGGGCGTGACATAGAGAACGGCCACGACCACTAGGAGCCTAGCCAAGGACGGGCTTTCCCCGAAGGATACCCTCTGCTAAAAATACAAAAAACGATGGAAAGATCCACCATGCTAAAGCCAAGACTCCCGCTTTGACTGCCGTTTGGTCTTCCACGTCAGACCAACTGCCACTGCTGGATGAGTCTGAAGACTCATCTGAAGCCGAGCTTGAACTGCCGTCAAAACAAGTATCAGTGGTCACTGGCAACCTCGAAGATTGAGATTGGGATTCATAAAAATGCACGATCTTCCAAGCATAAGCCGGGGATTCCTTCTTGAAAAGTTCCACTTCCACGCTGGGCTCCTTGCATGGTGCTTGACCCCCACGATGCTGAGGCGTAATTGGACGCCTGCCCTGCTTAACTTGATCCACCAACCGCTTGTGGAATTCAAGTTGTCCGCCAACATCGTCCCTGGAATACAAGCTAACACTGGATTGAGCAGGTTTGTGGTGGCCTTGCAATCGCCGCATTTCATCTGTCACTAGCCCTTTGTGACAAAGTTGAGAACCCCAGGACAAAAGTGTAGCTTTCATGCCATGAATTGTGTACGACAGGGGGTCAATGTCAGCGCACAGTGAAGACTTCCTCCACGGTATACAAAGCCATTTGCGAAACCATCCCAAGGCTTCTACATATATATGACATAGCCTGCAATAACTGTAAACGTATACCAGTTTTGTTGGGAGTTTTATTTGGGTGTTGTGCGGGCCCCACGAATCGTTCATGGGTTATTTCTCCCAGTTATATAATATATATATATATTATATGGATACATATATGGGATATCCCCTATTGTACTAGTGTACATGGGATTAGGCCAATATATATGTAGTGTATGGATTATAAACCACTTACTCAGTGGGATGAACATCCAAGTAATGAGTTTTCATAGGATTTATTCGGGGCTATTATCATTGATTATCATTGCCAATCTTAGATACCATGCAAAAAATAAATTCTTTGCTGGGTAGTAGATATTCCCATTAATACCAAAAGACTAAAGGATTAAAGTATCCATGTAAGATTGACCTAGTTATGGAATATTTATGGGAACATGATGGCTAGCTGGGATTTCCCCGCACGAAAATCAACTATAAAAGGAAGATTTTCCAGCCATGTTCGATTACCAGAAGGTAAGACTCCAAGGACGATTGGGTTTACAGTAAATGTACACTATATGAACATATATCGAACTAGTATTCATAGGGGTTTAAAAACCACGATAAATGGGAACACACACACACACACCTTTTGACCCGTCCTGAACTGAACTAGCTCTAAATAAGGATACAGTGGAATTATAATGGAGAAAAAATGGGAATGTAATAGGAACGTGATAGGATTTTAATCATCAAACATGATAATTTCACACTCAATTGCCATAAAAACAAATCTTAGTGGAGTTTAATCATCAACCATGGACTGTGGTGGGAATAAAGTGAGCATATAATGGGAATTTATCATGGTAATCTTAGGACATAGGGAATATGATGAAGATACAACTGATATAACCCGTTACAGTCCGCCGTATTAATAAGGACTACTTGGTGGCTCATCCCACTTAGTAAGTGGGTTATAACCCCAGTGATTGACATGGGATAAGTAGGGTTAATCCACTTAGAACTGGGGTTATAACCCACTTACGATTCGTGGGATGAGCCACCAAGTAGACCCTGAAATAGCAATATGTTATTGCAAACGAATCTTCCAACCCCCAACTCATGGCAGGGTCTATGTCAGTTGGATGCTGAAACTAACTTGGGTGTGGGACCAGGGTGGGATACAATTATCGGATACAATGAAAATACAACAGGGACATGATGGGTATATATTTAACATAGCTATTGAAAATGGCCATAGAAATAGTGGATTTACCGAAAATGATATGGGGAAAAAACTACTTAGAAATTAATCGTATGATCTTTGGATTTTTTGGGACAATGACGGGAGATTAGTAGGATATAATGTGATAGAATGAAATAGGTAACTGCCAATATGATGATTTTTGTTTTTGTCTGAAAATTATGAATAATAATTGCTACCGGGTTATTTAACCAACAGAAAAAATGTGATTTATACCCCACCATAATTAATAGAAACATAATGGGAGATATAACCACCAGCATGATACGTGAATGTGTCTGAATATGGGGAAGCATTACATTGCCCAAATTGCAGTTTCAATACGACTTTTCGCAAACCAAGGCATATTACGCAACTAACCAATTATATCTGGTAATTTAACATAGTTTTTGAACATGACACATAGAAATAGTTGATTTACCTATTAAACATGGTGATTTTCCATAGCAAAATTTTACTTTACCAGAGGGTAAGGTTTACCCATCATCTATCATACTATCACCATTCTGGCTAGTAAACATTCCCAAGCATCCCCCCTAAATTGCTGGGGAAGACCCTTTCCCCAAATGACTTGCAAGAAACAAAAGACACTGCTACTGTCGTATCATCTTAAATCCTGTTTTGGTTGTCTGCCCTTTAATGTTCATTCAAGAAATATGTACATTGCCTAACACAGGACCTTTATATGGGATATTGAAGCCAAACATCTTGGTTGCATTCCTCACCATCCGAGGTGTACTGCATCAAATCCTCAAACATGACTATACCATGTCGAGGGATTTTACCGTCAAATTTTCCACGGCAACCCCAACAAGATCAGTAAATGCCTTTAAATTTGTATGTTGAATCTGATGGCAACTTGTTAAAATACAAGTTAGGCCCCCCAGTTGTAAGTTGCTTTGCCCCACTACAGTTACGTATGTATATATATATATGTACATGTATATATATACATACATATATATATATGTACACTATGTAAATATATATATATATGTAATGTTATATCCCCCATAAACCTCCATAAAACCAGAACAAAAAAAACAAAACACAGTTCACAGTTCGCGTCAAGTCTGCGTCAACGGCCCTTTTCTCTACCAAGCCACACGACGAAGGCCACAACTTGTTGAATGGCGGTGACCAAAAAGCCTGCAGGGATGCCATCGATGTTCAACTCCTGGGATGGACAAATCAACAGCCAAAATTTCCATGGGAAAATCCATGGAAAAATCGAAGTTCATACCCTCTGGTAAACATACAAAAAGCTATTGAAAATGGCCATTTATAGTGAGTTTTCCCATTAAAAATGGTGATTTTCTATAGCTATGTTAGTTTACCAGAGGGTAATGCTTGGACATGGAGAAAAAAAACATCCGAATGTTTGATCTTGATTGATTACTTACCCTTCGTTGTCATCAAACATCAAACATCATGAAACATCATCAAGCATCATCAAACATCATCAAAAGTCATTGGTTGGTGGTTTCAACCATCTTGAAAAATATGAGTTCGTCAATGGGAAGGATGACAACCCATATATGATGGAACATAAAAACCTGTTCCAAACCACCAACCAGATCATCAAACATTGCTAGGGAATCCCCGAACAAAGAGAGGCTGTGTATGATTTCCGCGCAAGCGATTGGAGCTGATCCCCGGTTCCGAATGATCCACCAGGAGAGCTGTGATTTTTCGGGAAAATGTTCCATCATCAACAAAACAATGGGAATATTGGGATGGATTTGAGCTTCATAAACTTCATATATCTTCAAGCAATGGACTGCACCCCAAAAAACATGAGAGCTAGGTTTTGCAAGTCAAACATGTTATTTGGGATGAATCCTTAAGGTATTCTTGCGGAGCCATCACCCAAGTATATGGCTGCATGTATATGGCTGCATGTATACCGCTGCATGTAGGATAAGCCCACCACAAACCAAAGTAGGAGACCCAAGAATAAATTGCCATGTGAGAATAGTGTATAACATCCATTTCTGGTCAAACTTAGGATGCTTTATTAGTAGCAACCAACAATCAAAATGCGGAAAAAAAAAACGTAAACTCTGGCTGGAGTAGGGGTCTAATGATCCCATAGCCCGAACTACCTCCCAAAACGAAAAGCCTGGTCTACAGGATGGGGGCCCCAAGATAGCTAAGTTGGTTTATAAATGGCTTAACTATGGTTTATGGTAGATATAACTATAGATACCTATGGTTAATGGGGTTTAAAAACCAACCTATAACTGGACTCTGGTTGGTGGTTGAGCCTACCCCTCTGACAAATATGAGTCAGTTGGGATGATTATCCCCAATAGATGGAAAAATAAAAAATGTTCCAAACCACCAACCAGATATATTGTTATTCCAATTATTAACCATTATTAACCATAGATTAACCATAGATTAACCATAGATTAACCATAGATTCACCAGGAAAATTCATGTTCCAAACCACCAACCAGATACTGTGATCAATTTCTACTGCGCAACATCCCCTTTGCAATCACCGTAAGTTGCTGGCAAATCCCCATAACATTGACATCAAAACCACCGTTAGATAGCAAGCAAAAATCAACGAGCAATTAACGCCACCATGAAATAATCAACTAGTCATTAGAATCACCAGTAAGTCAATAAGGTCACTAAGTATCAGTACAGCCACGACCATATAAAACCCCATTGATAATTATTGCCATCAAACCCCAATGGATCCAATGTTAAACGCCCCCAACATGGTCACACTTCCTTAAATCCAATAGTAAGCAAGGGTTTCTGGTTCGTGTTTATATTGCATAGTTAATAATGAGCCAAGTTTGACCTGTATTCTATTGAACTACCAGTATTATAGTGAAAATGATGAACCGTTTATATTATGCGCAATTGACATCTATCCTGCTGAGTTGTAATAACTCACCAACCTGACTATACAAGTAGCTGTTATCATACGGCCATGTGGGGATGATCCCCTGCAGTCTAACAATCATTTCAGTGACTTCACGTCGTGATGTCACAACATAAACTATACTGGAGTTTCCCAATACTGTACCCTCTGGTAAACTAACATAACTATGGAACATCACCATTTTTGATGGGTAAGTCCACTATAAATGGCCATGTTCAATAGCTTTTTGTTTGTTTACCAGAGGGTAATTTTTAAGTCCAAACCAAACCCAACAAAGGTCGATTTTGGGGCCGCTCGGGACCCTTCGGACGTTCTGGAATGGAAAAAGGCCTTCAAAAAAGCTTTCGGAAGCATTCGGAAGAGTGAAACAAAACACATTCTGGAGTGGAAATAACCGTTCAGGATTTTTTTTTCTCTTGAAGTTGGCAAAATTGATGGATTTTTGCGTCCAAATTTCCACGATTCCACGAGGATGCAAATAAATTAGATACACATACATCCAGATCTCTTCCCGTTACATCCCCACTATATCCCATCAAAAAACACCAGTTTTGTTGGTTAAAACTCAATGTTTCATGGATCAATGATAATCAATGTGCCCTCATCATTGATGGATTACTCTCTATCCCCAAAACTATCCCATTGATATCCCATTGATGGGGTGAGTTCTTGTAAAGACCGCCAATCAACGATTGGATTAACTCACATGGGCACGGCGCAAAGCGTCGGTTGTTTTCATATGGATGCGTGCCAGAGTGACTCAAGGCCTTTGAGAGGAAACAGCCACAGAAGAAAGTAAATGATTCAAATTTGACTCAACTGTTCACTGATATCGTCAGCCCCCGTAATATTCTTTGGGTCAAATTTAACTTTCTTCCGTTGGACGTGTTGCCTCCCTTCTTTAAGGATTTCATCCTCCGCTGCTATCTGGAACATGCTGGTTTTCAGCATTTTCATTGGAAGTACATGTGCTTGAGAGAGTTTTGTCAGCATATCGGCAGGGTTCAAATTGTGTGGAATCCAGCGTAAGCGGCCCTTGCATCGAGCCAAGCTGTCTTGAATGATGGCTATCTCCAGTGCCGACCTGTCATCTTCACCAGACGCTTGTTCTGAAGCTGCACCATCGAACAGCGACTTGGCATCCACGATCGCAAGCGACAATGGATCTTGGTGAAGAGGGTCGTCAGAGGCTAGCACAGTTGGCTCGCCATGCATTCCAGAGTCATCTTCTTCCAAGCGTCTTTGGCGGACATCGTATCGAGAGATTCTGATACTGTCCCAGGTCGCAATCTGTTTCTCCAAAGCGCCAAGTGCAGTTGATAAAGAAATTGACTCACACAGCATTGTTGAACCTGCCTTTCTGCGAAGTCTCCTTGATTTCCAACCAATCAAAGAAATGGGTGCAGGTAGTCCTTGGTTGAGCTTCGGACTGGTGATGCCCTGCAGCCATCCATGTTGTGGCTTGGTTTTGCCTGTAGGGTCAAAGGAAGCATCTGCGATGACCACATGTCTCACATCCTTTTCTGGAATCGGATGTATTCGCAGTTTCACTGAAGTTCCTTTGATCTTTTGAACCACTTTGTTCGTTTCCAAAGCATGGTGAACTTTGGGTCCTGGAAATGATCCTGCCAAAATTGAAGCTGCAGCAGCTGCGTCGGGTCGTCCTTCGCGAGCTGCCCAATTCAAACTTGCAATTGAGCCACGAAGTTGTGCCTCTTCGGACTCGTTCAATGCAGTCTCCTTGGCATTCTTTAGGAGGACCTTTCGTTCCAGGGTGACTGGTCGCAGACGATTCTGAGTGTAGTCGTCCATGCTGTATTCATACCCAAAATCAGCAAGTTGGCGAACTCTTCGTCCTGCGTAGCCAGTACCATGCTTTTCTTCCATCAAGTCCACTGTCTTGCCAAATCGGAGCTTTGTCTCCAGCCATGCCATACGCTTCTGATGCTCGGCATTGCCTGCTTCCAAAATGTCGTCCACTTCCACGACGATCACTCCTTGGGTTTCAGCATCAGCTGCATGGCTTGGGCTGTCTAAGGTCAACACGCACCTGTCAAATGGACTGATGCGATATCCAAGCTCTCTGGTCAAGACACGGAGAAACGTTTTCCTCCACCAAGCTGGTCCACTAACCAACCCATAAACTTCTGTTTCCAAAAGCACCAAGTGGCCGTCCACGCAACCGGGAAAATTCCAGTCCGGTGGCATGGTACAAGCCAGTTTGTTTTTTCTGGTGGTTGGCAACGATTGCAAAAACGCTGTTTTGGCATCTTTCACTTTGCCTCTCCATCGCCTGGTAGCAGAAAGCTGGAAAAACAAATAAATTGATGTTGACGAAGGTGTTGGTGCACTTCTTTCGATGGCATGGATAAGTGGATCCTTCCATCCAACAACGCACCATCTGCTCTTTGCAGCCAATCCAGAGTCGTTCATCGGCTCAAAACCGGCTTCATCAAAACCTTCTGGTAAAACAGAAAACTTGTCTCCAGTGGGCTTCCAACGATCCACGTACCGTGAGGGAAGTATGTGGTCGGGAAACTCCTTTCTGAACTTGTTGCTCTCCTCCAGGGACAAAATGCGAATGGCCTTGTTGTCCAGCAAAGATTGAACCTCTTTGGTCCGTGCTTTCACAAAGATCTCACGGTGCTTGTCGTTCAACTTGCGGAACTCAATCTGGCCAGGAGAAGTTTTCACCTTGGTCAAAAACATGCACTTGTCCGAGGAGCTGAAAGAGCATTCAGCGTCGGCAGCGGTGAAAGATTCTTGAGAGAGAGGTGTTAGGCCCACCGCTCCAGTTCTCTGATCTGTCCACCACATTGCTCCATCTGACCCGTTCGTCCAGTTGTTGTGTCGTGGACGGAACTCCTCAAACTCGACAACCTCAAAATAACTGTTAACAAAATCAGCATTGCTCGGTGTCGGTGGCATAGATGGCAAGGAAGGTGGATTGGAGAATGGATGTGGATAAGGGCTAACTCTGGGTGTGGTCTGTCGTGATCTCAAAGCACCCAGAACTCCTCCACTCCCTTCATCAACCATGATTCCTGCTCCAGTCCGTGACGCTGGCACTTCGCTTCTCAAACTTGGAGCATTGGAAGTTGTGGCAGCTTGTGATGGGATTCTCGTGCTGACATCTTCTGCTGGAACTTCTGGCATTGGAACGTCGGTGGCATCCGGTTGATTGACCACAGGTTCCAAAGGTGGCAACTCTACGTCATCGTCACCATCCAAGTCATGCAGAGGTGATGTTGGTGTGTAGGGCTCGTCCGGCTCCACAAAATCTCGAACTTCGTGTTCAGGGATGGCTTCTGTTGTGATGGCTAATTGACGCTCTTGGTCAGGAGTTGGTTCGTTTGTCAGGTCGTGGTACTGTCTGATGCGACCACCTTGGATGTCCTTCAGCATCTCGGCAGAGAGCTCCTTGATCAGCTCGGCACCCAAATGCTCTTCTGAGGTAGCTGACCTCAAATGTTCTCTGGAAACCTTCATGAGGTGCCCTCTCAAGGAAACCCACATTGATTTCTCAGAAGGAGAAATTACAAGAAGAACTCCAGGACCTGACCAACCCGTAAAACCAGGAATTGAACGCCAAATGAAAACCCATTCGCCCACTGCAAGCTCTTTCAAATCTGAACTCCTTGTTTTGGCTTTCACAGATCTGCGGACTGCTTCGATGTCTTGTTGTTTCATCCATGCAATGGCTGCGGCTTCTCTGATCGCCCAGCTCTTGCGCATGTCGGCAGATGCTGATACTTGTAGAAGTTCAGGATTGAGGAAGTCATCGCTCATCAAACTTCCAGGAAGTCTGGGATTGACTCCAAAAGCTCGCTGGTAAGGTGAAAAGCCTGACTTGGAAAAATACCTGTTGCGGGCAATCTGCACCTCCTTGATGCACATATCCAAGTCTTCCAAAGTCATTGCCGAAGTTTCGTCCAAAACCATGGCCAGTTTCTCCTTGAAAATGCCTCCGGCTTTTTCTGTCCTCCCATTTTGCCATGGAGAGTTGGTGTCCGTAAAGTGGACCATGGTTCCCATCTCCATGATTCTCTGAGAAAACTCTTCACCGAAGAATTCACGGCCCTGGTCCATGATGAGGATGTTTGGAACTCCAAACGGGATCACCCAATTCGCCAGGAAAGCTTGGTAGGTGTTCTCGGCATTGACTTGCTCCATTCGTGTCATGATTTGAAGGCCGGTGCCCCAACACATGTTGTTCATCAGGGGGTACTTCACACCCTTCCATTCAAAGTAGACCACATCGGTCCCAACTGTCTGGTTGAACTCAAGGCTGCGAACCAAATGTCCAGGTCGTGGAATGGATGGCTTTCTCGAAGCTTCGCCAATGGGGCATCGAAACTCCTTCTTGGTCCATTCCACCACTTCAGGTTTTGCCTGGGCATGACGCAAGGCTCTCAAAAAGGTTTGAAGGTCAGGATGACCCAGGTTGCGATGCAACCTAAACACTTCTCTTCTCAGTTCGGCTGGGATTGTCAGCCGTCCATCCTTGCGAGTGTGTTCGCGAGCATCTTGAGCTTGTTGTTGAAGTTCATCCGACTCTGCTAAAGGTCTGAGTTGGTTTTTCGTTCTTTCCATCACAGGGTCGATGGCTCTTGCAGCATCTTCATCGATGGTTGGCAGCGGCAAACGACGCAAAGTTGGAAGGCGCCCACTCTCGCCACCCAAAATTCTTTGTGATGGAAACACTTGTTGGTGAAAAACCTCCAGCTCTTGTTGGAAATCTTCTTCATAAATTGCAAACTGAGACAAAGGTTGAGCCCAAACTTGTAGCTCTGCCTGCACGGCCTGGAACATCGTAGTTGACATAGCCGGTAGATCTTGAGCTGCAGCATTGTTGGTGTCCTCCTCCATGAAGGTTACCCCGTGGAACTTCAAGTGCTGTCGAAGACCCTGCAAAATTGCACGCACAAAGGGTCTGGAGTACTCAGCAGCGGCAGCCGCTCTTCCTCCGATCAGCGATCGGTGCACATGGTCACCTGAGCATCTACGGTGAAGAACCTTGGCCAGGGCATAGCTGTTTGTCACCAACAACGTGGGCTTCTTGGCTAAAAGGCCATCTTTTGTCATCAGCTTGAAAGCACACATGTCGACTGTGAAGACATAGATCCCGGGGCGCTGCAAAAGTCTTTGAGCTCGAGGTTTGTGCCAAGATCTTGCCAGTTTTGGTTGTTCTAAAAGAAAAGCTCGATTGGCATGATCCTGGTCCTCGGCAATCTCAAGTGAAAAATCCCAGTGAAGTTCTCCTCCGGATTCTTCAGCAGCAACCACCAATGGATCTCTCTTGTAATTGGAAAGGTTCCGCAGGGGTGTGAAAACTGTGCATGGAGGTGACAAAATCACCAAGCTTGGTCTCGTAGTCTGGACTAGCTTCTTGACCTTGAATCTGGTCTTGGGGCATCTGAAGTCGTATCCAGTAGTGAGGTCCAAAGCTTGTCCCACCTTCCATGCTGGCTTGAGGCCCTTTGAGTTTTGCAGTTTTGCTTCTTTTGTCACCCTCGGCGGACTGTAGAGCTCTGTAACATCAACGCCAAAATGGCTGTTCACAGAGGATTTCAAAAACACCTTGACCTTCTTCGGGATTCCCTGGGGTCGTTGCGACCATTCCAAATCTTCAGCAAACCAGTTTTGATTGCAGCTGTTCAAAGGAAAAACCCAACATAGTCGAAGGTGCTTGGCCTTGAATTCTGAGTCATTTGAAAAAGGCATCCATGTAGTTGATTCATCTGCTTGGAAAAATTGGTGCTGGGAACTGCCCAGCCAGTGCGGAAGTTGTACAAAGGAATGAATTCTAGAGGCATCCCAAGTGGCTTCGCAAGTGGATACCACCGTGCATAGCAACACCACTGCTAGCTTCGAAATCTTTGACACCTCCTTGGCCAAGTTGTTGAATTTGCCAAGATGGGCACTGTGCTTCAACTCCGCCCTGAAGGTGAACTTTCGGCAGCTTTTGGTGTTGTTCGTGGTGTCATTCTTTTTGTCGTAGCGCTTGTCATCAAGCTGGTTCTGCTTCGGATCCTTGAAGGCTTTTGAAGTCATGGATCCGTCATAGCTTCCAAAAACTGATGCCGCTCCTCCTCCGTGGCCGTCCAAAAGTCCTCGCCCATGCCCTGCCTTGCTATCTCCATGTAGGCCTCGGCATTCATCTGGGCAATCTCTTCCGGGGAGAATTCCGGCATGTCGAATTCGTTGGGGTCTGCCTCGTTGGCCATCTGGAAAACTTCGATCGCTGCAGTCCTCAGTGGTTTGCATGTAGGTCCCACTGATGGTGTCTTGGATCGTTGCACTGGATTCAGTCCATCCAGTCTCTCGGCAGATCGTCCTCTGGTCTTCATAGTTGAGGCTCTTGCCATAGCTGTCGAAGTCTTTGTTGTGGCATCCGTCACCGGCTTCACCAAAACACGGTATGTCGGGAGGTCTGGTCTGCTCCTTGGAGGTGGCAAGAAAGTTGGATAGCTGGCCCTTGTAGCCGTCTCCACGATCTGAGTTGAGCTCGATGCTGCTGCTTCCAATCTCTCCCACCTGCCTCCGCACTGAAGACATGTGAACCAGTAGTGGCCCTTGGAGGCTCGATGCCTCAGGTACTCCTCCTCGTGGATGCACTCGTCGACTGTTTTGTTCCAAGACTTCTGAGCCGTAGATCTTGTCAGCGGAGCTCCAATGACCTGTCGAATCTTGTAGTTCGGGTCTTTGGTCTTTCTGGCAGGCTCCTTGGGCTCCTTTGTCTTTTCTGTGTCTTCCGGCTGGGGTATGCGCCGGTGGAGATATTCTGTGACCATCTCCTGTCTGATCGAACTGATCGTCAAGAACAGCGCGATCATCAGCCTTCGCCATGACCTCTGTGCTCTCTCCGCCTTCTGGCCACCAGCTGGAGCTTCCTCCATGTTGGCATAGGCCTTGCGCAGGCGGTTCATGCCGGCGAGCACAGAGACACAAGATGCTCGGGATCAGCTTCTTGAGCATCTGTGTGGGCTTCGAAGTAGATGAAGTGGCAACAAAACGAAGAAATTGGAGAAAGCTGAAAACGAAAACGTTGAAAAACATCTTCTCAAATTGCACTGCCCTTCCAAAATTCTGTTTGTTGACACTGGGTTGCGCTGATTCAGGCATCTGCAAATCAAATGTTGGAGATTGATCATGAAATTCTACCAAAACGTCATCATCACGACTCAAATCAAAATATTGCACTCTGTCATCTGTGGTTCCCAGCTGCACCTGCAAATGCTGTTGGCTGCTGGCCGCTGGCATTGGTGAGGCCTGCAGTGAACCATCATGCACGGAGAAAACGGCTGTTGGGGTAGAAGATGTTGAAGCTGGGGTACATGAAACTGGAGGGAACTCAAATTCATGGGAGATGTCAAACTGTTTCAAAAAGCATTCATCGCAAACTGTGGTCTGTGATGTCAAAGTGGCTGAAGACCCATCATCCTGCGGTCCATTTTGACTGCGGTTGTTCCACTGTCGGTCGGCAATGTTTGCCCATGACGATGATGGTCTTGTTGACCCAGAAGCTGAAGCGGTTGAAACGAGGCTGTTGAAAGCCATACGGCAGGTTTCATCTGCCGGCATTGAAACTCCCTGAGTTCCATCCTGTGGCACTGGTACATGTGCAGCTGAAGCAAAAATCACCGATCCACTCCAAGGCTCTTCCAAACTGCGAGCTCCAGAGGAGTGTTGCCAAAGATCTCGAATGACCAAGTGGCGTCCATTTCTGAGATAGGCATGTGTCACCCTCTGAGGCTCCAAAGTTGATGGGTCTTGTATTCCACATTCCAAAGGCATCACCATAGACCAACGTTCTGCTGGAAGGTCCTTCAAATGGTGGAGGGTATCGCCCACCATCAACCAAACCTTGACTGTCTTTTGCTCCACAGCTGCATAGGCATTGGCTTGTTGAGGTAGTAGAAATGGATCAACATCTGGATCTCTGCGAAGGTCTCGAGGCAAATCCCAACCTTCATCGGCAAACTCCATGATATTGATGGCCCTATGCTTGGTCGGCAATCGCCGCATGTCAGTGGATCCTCCATTTTCCAAAATGAGTTGGTTGTGCTTGCAATCAACCATGGCTCCTACACTTTCCAGCCAACTGATGGGTAACAAAGGTGGTGTTTGGTGATCAGCTCCATCTTGCAAAACAGTAAAATGAAGTGCCCCATTGGTCTTGGCCACTCCAATCGGAACGTGAGCTGTCCCTTTCACCTTTGCCGCACCTCCAATTCCACCAGCTCCAGGAAGAGGTCCATGTTGTTGCCAAAGCACTCGAAGTCCTTTCTGAGCTAACTCATTCTCCAAGCGTTCCATCGCTCGGTGTCCAATCACCGCCTCTTCTGCCGCGGTGTCAACCAAGGCTTCGAAAGGCTGGCATTGGACAGCATGGAAAATCATCAGTCTGTAAGGCACTGATTCATCATCCAACCGGGCTGGCTGGGAGGCAAACATAAAACATTGTGGTCCAGTTGAAGTCATCAAAAACTGCTTACGTGGGCCCATAGTTGACGAACCACCCTTTTGTCTGCTCTCTTGTTTCAAAGGACAGTCCTTGGAAATGTGGCCCAACTCATCGCAGTTGAAACACCTAGTTCTCGAAATCAAATCATCTTCATATGACTTCACAACCTTGGAGCCCTTGTTGAATTTGCCCTTTCCCTTGCCAACACGGTAGGGTTTGTGGGAACGTTTTCCTTTTGATTTTCCACCAGCACCATCTCTGCCTCTTTTCACAAAGCCTCGCTCATTGCGACGCTTTTGAAGTTCACGTCGAACATCTCGGTATGCAGAATGGTATGCCATGATTTCCATTGACTCCTGTTCAGAGAAGACTTTGTCCTCAAAGTAGATGAAGGGATTTCCCTGCTCGTCTTGGGAAGACGACTCATCATCATCCGTGTCGCCCTCCACATGATTCTCGTTATACTCATGGGTGTCCTCATCCACTTGAGCGTCATTGGAGTCATGGAAGGTGGCATAGTTCTTGGTGGACCCTTGAGCTCTGTTGAGCATCTCCGGACGGTCCAACGTTCTCAACAAATTTGCAATGTCATCAAACGTCCGCAAAATAGGAGATCGCAGCATCAAAAGCTCCCTTTGCAAATCGTTCAAATTGCTCTGTTTCAAAAGCACCCGTCCAGCTAAACGTTCACTAATCTTCTCGCCCATCTGCATCTCCATCTCCTGCAATGAAATCTGTTTTGCAGCAACGTATGAGGTGAAGGTTTCAGACTTTTGCCTTTCACCCTCATACAGAAACTTGTCAATGGCCCTTGGTGCGCTAGCTTCCAAATATGGAGCATAGCGCTCATAGATCGCTGTGAGAATGGCTGAATAGCCCTGAGGCGAAAGCAACACCTGCGTAGGCACTGTATCTGCAATCCTTCTCGGCTGAGAATTCTCCTGAAAACTTTGCAGCAAACGGATTCCCCTTTTGTTCATAGGCAGTGTTGTCTCGAACTCCCACAAGGCTAAAACTTTGAGCCAAGAGCGCAGTGTTTCCGCATTTCCATTCCAGGTTGGAATTGGCTTCTTCTCTCCAAGCTGATGCAGAGCGCTTGCAATGGCAGCGTTTGTAGGTTGGCCGTCAGGCCCAAGCTCCCCAAAGGTATTTCCACTTGGTGGAAAAGGTCGTGCACCCCCAAGCAAATCGAAAGCTGAACTCTTCGGTCTGTTGTCACCCATTGCAGTCTGTCCAGAAGCTGAGCCTAAGGCTATAGCAAATGAAGCAGCATTAAATCCAGTTGGATAACTTGGTTGTCCAGTCTGAACTCCAGGGTGGCCAAACTGAGTCGCCTGATTCGGGTTGAATTGGTTACCAAAATTCAAGCCAGCAGGTCGAGAGGTCGAAGAGCACGGGATCGAAAAGCCTGGGTTAAAAAGGTTTGAGGTCCTGGCTGAGGCATCAGTCGCAGATGTGGTTGGAACAGCCTGTCCAGTATTTTGACCGTTGAAGGCTACCATCGTGCGTTGCCTATATTCAGACCAGGGGTCACACATATCGAAAACCTGCTCCGCTCACCACTGATGGGGTGAGTTCTTGTAAAGACCGCCAATCAACGATTGGATTAACTCACATGGGCACGGCGCAAAGCGTCGGTTGTTTTCATATGGATGCGTGCCAGAGTGACTCAAGGCCTTTGAGAGGAAACAGCCACAGAAGAAAGTAAATGATTCAAATTTGACTCAACTGTTCACTGATATCGTCACCATATTTCATCCTTTGAAATCCATACACATCATAATTCTATTCAAACAAAATCCCTATGAATCCCTATTGTTTATAGTTAAAAAAACTATTAAAACAATTAATTAGAACCATATTTCTATATTTTTATTCAACACATCCCCGTACTTTTTCCAGTTCTGTTCCCGTCCTGGGAGATGGTCGTGTTCGACAGCACCTCAGATCATCTCCGAAGGAACGAACGAACAAAGAGGACTTGGCGATGAAACGAAAGCCGGACCAAATGGGCATGGAAAATATGTGGATTATATTCGTGGATTAATATAGTTCTATGGTATAGTTAATATGGTTAGTGGATTAATATAGTTGACTATACCATGGAAAATATATATTTATATGGTATAGTCAATATGGATTAATATATTACGTGGATTATATGTCGATTTATATTAATATGTGGAAAATTCAGATGAATCCATATATTTATATGGAATATAATATGATATATATATATATATATGGATTCATCTGCATTCATATGGATTGATATATGGATTCATGTGGAACATATATTGACTATATCGAATTTCAGGGTTCTTAAGTCATGGGGGATCCCCAGTCGTCACCATGGGTACGACACTAGAAGGTCATCAATGAGACCTCATGACTTAGGAAAGCTCCATGACTGACCAGATGGGCCAGATGGGGATGTATAGCCACATTTAGAATCATGATTGGTGATTTAATGGTGATTTCCATGGTTAATAATGGTTAATAGTGGTTAATAGTGGCTAATCCAAAAATCATAACTGGTTGGTGGTGCAATAACCATCTTGAAAAAGATGAAAGTCAATGGGAAGGATGACAAGACAAGCCATATATAAAATGGAAAATAACAAATGTTCCAAACCACCAACCAGCCACTAAAATCGTGGTACATGCCATTTCTATCTGTTCTTGTGGTCTTACTATTACAGGGAAATCATAACTGGTTGATGATAAACAAAGGGGGCCTTCCTAGCTATATGAAGGGGATGACCTACTAAAAAATGGCTCTAAAATCTATGCTTTTTGGGGATTAAACCAGGCAAAGTTTTCTGGTAGATTCTGTTTCACCTCCCAAGATGGAACTGATGGTTCCCCCATTCCAATACTTCGGAACTTGGGAAGCTATCTCACCATGGTTGGTTGGTTATAAATGTCCCATCACCATGGTTCGGGTTTGTATGGAATTCCATGGGAGCAATTGGGATACACCAGGAGAATCCCACATAAGGGCCATGATTACAACGCGGCTTACTCACCATTTTTCGAATCATCTTTGTTTTTCCCTAAGTTTCCAGGGTAAGGTCGGGTAAGGTTCTAAAAAGGGTAAAAACAACACTTCAAATGTGGGTATACGTGGGAATATGAGATATTATAAGATGATATAACCACATTTAAGCGTTGGAAAAACATGGCTCGTAATTCCTTGGAATCATCCCAAAGGCGTTTCACAAGAGGCAAACATGACCAGCAAACATCCAGTTTCTGGAAAACATGGTACATGTGAGCCACAGACCTGGCACAAGCTGAAGGTTTTTTTCATTTTAGCTGATCAACATAAAAAAAAATGATATTAAGATATGTCCAATTATGGGTCAAGATGGAAGTCCCATTGAACACCACTGCAATGCTTCAGTAATGACTAGAGAACACATTGTCCGTCGATGTCCGCCGCTTCTTTTCACAATTCCTCTCATTGCCAATCTTAGATACCCTGCAATCAATGGGAATTCCAAGATCCTAAAACGGAGGTACTGTACCATATAAGGGCATATTTTCTAGTGATATTCCCTTACATAGGCCTAAAAAATAGGCCTTATATATGGTAGGTACCTCCATTTTCGGATCCTGAAATTCCCATTGATGCAATCCTGTATTTTTTGCTGGTTAGATAATATTCCAAATTATTGCTACAAATAAAAGGTAAATCTACCCATCCAATGTTGACAGAGCTGAAAACAACTTGGCACTTCCTCCTGGAAAACAATACTGTAAACTCATGGGATTGGTTTTGTTGGGAAAATTGAAACCGGAACCCCCCATGATCTTCATGGTAAAACCAGCCTGTTTCCCGTTAGGATTTTCCCTTCAACCAATCCAATATAATTAAACACGTTCTTATACATGGCAGGCAGCTTCGCAACAGATGAATCATGATGAATCTATCCGACTTTGACCAATGGCAACTTGGCTCCGTTCATCCTTCGTTCCTGTTCATGTTCAATATTACCTGGTTGGTGGTATACCTACTGTTAATCATGGTTAATGATGATGTTTATTATATCCTTAATGATGGTTATATAGTAATAATCTGGTTGGTGGTTGAGCCCTACCCCTCTGAAAAATGATGGAGTTCGTCAGTTGGGGTGATGACAATGTGTATATGATCCTACCATATCCTCGCCAGTTGACGGAATTATGGCACCTTCCAAATGCACCTAAATACACTTGGCTTTCTGCAAAAGCTGCCAAATTTCATGCCCTGTCCAACTAGACATGGGTTGAATATTACCAAAGGTTGCGGCAGAAAAAAACAAAACGCATGATATACTGTTCCTATGAATCTTTCCGATTGACGTGGTGAATCTTTGGCTGGCAAAAAAAGTGAATAGGTGACTATATGCCAACTTGTGGCAAACAAAATTGGTTGTATCTATTTTTATGATTCATTCAACGTGAAAAACAGGTCAGGTAGATCATTGACCATAAACAAGCAGTATCATCACTGGCCATCTCAGGAACCTTAATTGGAGGTACCTACCATATATAAGGCCTATTTTTCAGGGCTAAATTTCAGGGAATATCCCCACAATTCATATGGCCCAAAATATGGTACGTTTACGTACCTCCAATCTGTTGGATCCTGGAGATCTCCCATTGATATCCCTTTAATATCCTTTACCCTCTGGTTATTTAACATAGCCATGGTATAGATGGCCCATTTATAGATGGTTTACCTGGGTTTACCGAACTTAAAAATTGTGATTTTCCATGGCTATGTTATAGCACTATATACCATATATATATATATAATTAATATGTATATATATATATAGACTATAATATAGACAAGTATAGTTAGATTCTGAGGCCTGGTGTAACCCAACATGGCCATGGCGTAACCTGAGAATGGCCATCCCGGCCCTTGTCTCGACGAGGCACCACCTTCATATAGAGACTGAAGCCCGCCTCACGTCGTGTCGACGAGGCATATGTGATGGTTTCGAAGCAAAACATGGCCTGAATAGACTGTAAAGCATCATGTTCTACTGAAAGCAGCCTATTTCATGGGCCATGTTTGTGGATATTTGGCAAATAACAAGCATCACAACTCGTCTGTTATTTCAAGAAACATAAGCCAGATCAAATCAAAGGTTTTCCAATGTCAGAGGCACCGATTTTAGGGCAGCCAACCCTAAAAGAAACCGCTTCTGGTCCTTGGATTTGCTGATGAGGTATGGATTACAGCGTTGGTTGGTGCTGCTATAATCCGATACTTCAAGCTAAGGATTAGTTCCTGCAACCTTTCCTTAACTGTTGATATGAAGGTGTCCATAAATGATCATAAATGGTGTCCTTTCTAAAAGCTGGATGGTTGGTTTCATGGAAAATGCTACATGGATGATAACTGGAGGTACCTCTATGAATTAGGAACCCTCCTCTAGACAGGCCCTGGCTTCCCAAACAGAGGCCCAGAAGAAGTTTTGTGACCCTATAGCCAGGGCCTTAAATTGGAGTATCTGTATATATATATATACAGTATGTATTTAAATCCTCTGATTAATCTAATAATGTAATATATATATAATAATATATATATATATATATTATATATATTATATATATATTATATATATATATATATTACATATATATATATATATATATGTCGAGTATGTATTTAACTCGCTCTAATTAATGTAATTCTGTAATATATATATATACATATGTACGGTAACTTAACTACATTTAAATAAACACACTTTTAAGTATACGAACAGGTATTGTGGACTACGTCCGGGAAGGTTTTCTTTGGCCTGCCCGGCCATTAAATTCAAACACACGGAATCCAACTCACTTAAACATACCGTAACTACGTTTAAATATACGAACTGGAATTTCATACTGCCTCCGGGGCCTCGCGGTCTGGCCCGCCCTCCACATATTTATATAAATGTCGTTACCGTATAATTAATATTATCAATGTCAAACTCACTGCACAAGTCAGCGATTTTTTCATTGAAGAGTGCATGCGTTAGGCTTCATCAGATCCAATAGCATAAGTACATACGTATTATCATGAAATAAACCAATTAATTACAACTGTTCTGGGCTATAACTCAAACTATCAGGGCTATAGGGATGGTCATCAAATTATCATTTACCGTGTGCCTCTCATATTCTGTAGTAGCTGTAGTCTGTAGTCTTATCCCCACTTCTCATCTGCCAGCTA